TCAACTCACTGAGCCACACTGGCCAGGCAAGGGCAAGGGCAAGGCCATTTTCTTTCAGAGTCAGAGGCCTGGTCCGGCTGCTCTGCTGCGAGAGCGGGAGTTATGGCTCAGAGGCGACCAGCACAGGGCTTTGGCATCCTGCTCCTGCAGCTGCCAGAGACCATTAAGCAAAGTGACTGAAAGCAAAGGAAAGGCAACAACAAAAATGCCAGCAGCAGCGGCAGCAGCAAGAGGCAGGGCCCAATTACTACTGGTTGAAGTGTGAGGAAAATTAAAGCTGGTGATGGTTCAAGGTTGTGTTGAAATTCCAAAGCAGTGGGCTTGCATAACCATGAAACATGGAAATTAAAGTATTACTGATGTTCACACTGTTTATTTCAGGACCTCGCTTTCCGACCTACTTTGTCTCAACAAGCCTCAGTCCAGTCACACGCTAACCACCACAGAGAAAGGGAGAAAAATGGAGATGCGTGTGTGTGTGTGTGTGTGTGTGTGTATTTAAAAAATGTACATAAATTAAGAATAGGAAAAATACCTAGCAATGTCCATTCATATTATGTGAAAATGAAGCAAACCGCCATCATTTACAGATCCCAACAACTTTAAAACATTTTTTCTTTTTCTTTTTTAAAATACATTTTATTTATTTTTTACAGAGAGGGAGAGGAAGAGAGAGTTAGAAACATCGATGAGAGAGAAACATCCATCAGCTGCCACTTGCACACTCCCTACTGGGTATGTGCCCCCAACCAAGGTACAAGCCCTTGACCGGAATTGAACCTGGGGCCCTTGAGTCTGCAGGCCAATGCTCTATCCACTGAGCCAACCCAGTTAGGGCTTTAAAACATTTTTCAGGTGATGGGTTTCTGAATTCACCTGCCAAAGCAGCGATAACTTCTGAACCGTTCACAATAACAATGACTATATTTATGGAGTATTTCTTATGTCCCAAACAGACACAGACAATTGAGTCCTCATAATAACCTTCCAAAGAAAGCATAATTATCACCATTTGGTAGCGAAGGGCATGAAACTCAACAAACTGGAATAACTGGGCCCATAAACAAAGGTACAAAGAAGAACAAGCAACATTTGAACCCCGGCTTGTCCCTCTGACAGGAAAGCCAGAGCTTTAAGTCACATGTCATTTCTCCCATGTACTGCTGCCCTCTAGCTAATACTACCCACAATGCCTTGTCCAGCCCTCCCCTCCCCTTAGCCTCTTTACAGTTCCATACATGCTACATATGTGTTGATGGCTAACTGCCCGGCTTCATTTTTCAGATTAAAGACTTTAAGTTATCAAAGCAGAAGCAACCCCAACTCACCCTCCTGCATATATGATGAGAATGACAGCAATGTTTGTTTCCCTTTTCAGAGTAGAGTGAATCCCAAAACCTTTCCATTTAAGCTCTGATTCAGTGCTTACTTGTCTACTGTAGATGGCAAATAAAACATCTTCTATCTGCATACTGAATTTTGATTTCATTGGGTTCCCTTAACCCAGTGGTGGGCAAACTCACTAGTCAACAGAGCCAAATATCAACAGTACAATGGTTGAAATTTCTTTGTGAGAGCCAAAGTTTTTAAACTTAAACTTTTTCTATCGTCAATTCTTCAAAATAGACTCACCCCGGCCATTGTATTTTGTGGAAGAGCCACACTCAAGGGGCCAAAGAGTTGCATGTGGCTCTCGAGCCGCACTTTGCCGACCATGGCCTTAACCCAAGGGACAGGACAAAAATGACTGTCCCTCTCTATCACAGACAATGTGGGGAGGGTCTGAGAATGTGACAAAGGGTAGCTATTTTTTATGCCTCTTCCTTTTGGGATATGGATAAAAAGGTGGGTGCCAGTGTGGTGTCTCCCCACAGATCACCTCTGATCAGTGTCCAGGCCTAGGGACCATACCCATGCATGAATTTCGTGCACTGGGCCTCTAGTTTTAATATGATTTGGAATTGGTCACGGCAGCAATATTTACATCATAATCAATTCAATTATCTGGTATGAAGAAATAGCTCTGCTACTCTGCTTTGAGGGTTTCAAGCAAGTTTTTAACACAAGGATATGACATTTGGATTGAATCTCACCTGTAGCCCTCAGCATAAGCCATTTTTATTTCTGCCTGGAGCATTCATGTCCCAGCTCTCTCACTGCATGACTGACAATGATGCAGGTGTTAACCTGAGTGATCACTAATTACAGAAATCTTCATGTTCACTCCTTCTGTGATGATAAACTCTACATGCACTATCATAGCACCCTTATTTATTTGCCTGTTTTCCCATCTTGAATGTAAACTCCATGAACACAGGAATCTGAGTCTTATTCAGTATAATATTCCTGGGACTCATTTCATGTCTACTGCATAGCAACAGTTAGTGACTAAGTAAAATGTGGCACAGTTACTTGTTTGTAGTCTAGCATCTCCAGTAGATGGAAAACCTCTAAATGAACTCTGCTATATTCATTTTGCAATTTCTTTTTTTATATGGCGATCTCTCACTTGGTAGGTGCTAACAAGCTCTTTTTGCATAAGTGAACAAATATACAGATGGTTACACATCCTTCCTTTTATCCACTGCTTTTGTTGGAAGGAAGGTAAAGAAATTCTAGGCTGAAAAAAAAAACTTTTTAAATTTAAAAAGGGGAAGAAAAAACTAAGTTGGGCTACTTCAAGTTGAGCAAAATAGTTCTTCCATCTCACAGGAGGAAAAACAAAGGAAATCTCTGGGACCACTTTGTATGTCTATTTTGGGACAAAATAGTGACAAGATGAAATAATTCAAGAATGTGACCACTAAATAGAAACCCTGTTGAAAAATGTTTTGATTTTTCTCCTTGGGCACATCTTGGTAGGTTAGCAGTTTACAAGGGACCAGAGATGACATTGCCTCCCTGCCAATATTCAGTACATTCCCTTTGCTCCAAATGTGGCAAACATCTTGAATTTATTCTTTGATGTCCCAAATTCAAGATGATTTTGTGAGCTTCGTTGAGTGGCAAGGCTACTAGCATAACGCTGACTTGGAACCAATAAAAGTATGAACTTTTAAAATTAAGCACTGTCTGATTTAAATATATTTCTTTATAGTAATTATTATAGCAAGTAACCAGGGCAGCACAGTTCTTGAACTAGTGGGGTCGGAAGTTATGAGATGAACTAAACTTGAAATAGAAAAACAGTCAATATCCGCAGTGCAATCTTTGTACAGCATTATGGAAGCACGTGAAAAAAGCAGAAGTCATATCAGGATTAATGCCAAGTTCTAATGCGACAGGTCTAGAGAAAAGATTGGCCATCAGAGATAACAGAGTCAGATTAAAAGATTCTGTCTACCTTAATCACATGACCCACTATGGTTGAAAGCACATGCTATCCCCATCACCAGGACAGTTATAACTTATTTTTTAAAATATATCTTACTGATTTTTTTTTTTACAGAGAGGAAATTAGATGGATAGAGTGTTAGAAACATCGATGAGAGAGAAACACTGATCTGCTTCCTCCTGCACACCCCCTACTAGGGATGTGCCCGCAACCAAGGTACATGCCCTTGACTGGAATCGAACCTGGGACCTTTCAGTCCACAGGCTGATGCTCTATCCACTGAGCCAAACCAGTTTTGGCAATTATAACTTATTGTATGTACTGGCTCAGATCTTCACTTACCCAAACTCAGAGTTCCTTGAGAGTCAGGATCAAGTCTTTGAATCCCAACACCTCACATAGTAACATAACTGGGGCACGTAATGTGGGTTCCATCAACCTTGTCAAATAATTAATTGGTTGAACAATTCATTCCAAAAGTTGAACATTATGCAAATGTAAATAGCTCCATGAGGAGGCTACCTCTATTCCGTCCACATCTGACTCCAGAGCACCAAAAACACTCAATAAGCTTTCACTGATGGGCAAGTATGGTCTTTCATGTCTGTGTAGGGTACACACGTCTCTACACACAACATGTTATCAACACAGTGAGTGTCCTGCAAGTATCTCAAGGATGCTTAGGGCTGCAGGAAGTACCCCAGGGGCTATTTAATTCACATCCTCACGTCTTGATTACAGAAGGGAAGGAGCTTTCTTTGTGCCCAGACCCTCCCACTGCTTGTCTGTTTTCCTGGTGACGAGTGGACTTCAGGAACAAGCAGAGGTGCGTATCGCTTCCATGATGAACAGAAGAGTAAGAAATGGAGTTTTTCAGCCTCCAACCAATAAACAAAGCTTACTTATTTGGGATGGGATTTTATTTGCACGTCAAGATCAATCGAGCCAGGGTATTAGGGCCATGAGAGAAAAGGAGAAAACATAAAAAGTAAATCCCAACCACCACCACATTGGCAACCAGACACATTTTCACAGGTTAGCCATAAAGCAAGGCATTCTTCCTTCTTGCCTTAAATTTTTGGCACCACCAATGGACAGTTTTCTGAAGGACTAGAAGGGAAGAGGGGAGAGGACACTGACAGTATGTGGGTGGGGTGACCATAATAGGCACTGGAAGAGGCTGAGTGCTGCTAGATGCTTCTCAGAGGCCTGGTATTTCCAGGAGCCCTGCAGCAGGCTTCCCTGCCTGTTTGTTTCCTGGGTCTGTCTTTCTCTCTCCTTTTTATTGAAAGGCACATTTTCCTATCCATTAAGATTTATGGTTTTCTGCCAACTACTTCGCTGGAACAAGTTTCCCCCCCTTAACTTAACAACGCACCTATTAGACTGTAATGTACCCATAAAAAATTCTCTTCGGATAGTGCTCACAAAATGCATCTCTTTAGGACTCGAGATGGATAGAAATATAGTCTCATGAAATTTGGAACCAAGTGGCTCCCACTTGTTTACTAGGTGAATATGTTAGGCCATCGTCATATCACGAGAAAGTCACATTCAATGAAGTCAACATCTCCCAAGATCTAACAACCACAAGATCTAAGGGTTTTCGAGAACAATAAGACCGTCACAGATTTTTCTGGCTCGTTGTATCCTCTCTACGGCTTACCCGTTAGCTGGGCTCCAAGAAGTTTTCATCTTCATTTTCCCATCGTAGCCAGACCCATGGACTTGGGGGCATTTGCCATAGCACACTAAGAAAAAAAAAGTGCGGGGGGGAGATTTAAAAAGAGAGAAAATTTCTTAATCATGCTTTCATAACTTTTAGTGAACAGTTGGTTTAGATTTCCAAATAACTCTTTTCCAAAGGGCAGAATCAAAACACATGCAAAAAATAAAAGTCTAAATAAAGCACAATAAATTATTTCACTGCTAAGGGATTAGATTTCAAAGGGAGAAGTACACATAAGGATATGAGAGTGGACTATATTGGATCTCTGGGAATTGCTGTCAGATATTGATGAAAACAGAGAGACTGTAGGAGATCAGATAAAAGAGAGAAATGATTACATTTGGAAGAACAATGTGAAATTCGTGGCCAACAGAGATTTCACATGTAAGCTAATAGCAATCCACGAAAGGAAAGAGTTGGAGCGAGTCCCACATCTTTGACCACATTTACAATCACTCAGCATCTGTAAAAATTTCTACATAGCATTTTTCCTCATTTCAAAATTTGCAAAATACATATTTAATAGGTTTAGCATGTCAGTCGGTAATTTCGGCCACGGGTAGTGAAAAGTGTGTACGTGCGTGTGTGTGTGTGTGTGTGTGTGTGTGTGTGTGTGTGTGTTTTCAAATGAGTTAGGTTTTGCTGCCCTTTCGGCTCTGCCCCCAGCCAGCTGCAATCACAGGCTGGTCCACAGCCCAGAGATGCTATAAACAACGTGTTCTGTACATTGGAGAGTCCACGCCGGTGAAAAGACGCAGTGTCTTCTACTTTCATCTTATCTCTCCCAAGATTCACACTCTCTCCATGTGGGACACAGAGAGTCCATTTTCAACCTCCTTTCTCTTTCCCATTATCACCAAAGAGCAACTGGTAGTGGAAAGGTTTTTCCTCTTTAATAAAGGGGTATTGACCATTATGTTGGAGATGATCAAAGATTACTCAAACTGAAACAAAACATGAGGGATACAAATTGAAAAGCCAGCTGGGACAGCCACTGGGAGATGGAGTCGGGTCAGCCCTCCAGAGGCGGGTGGTCCTGTCCGCTTGGCAATGATGTCATCATCTCGAGATAACCTGAAGTGGTCCCAGAGTGAGCAGCCAGTAGTCTGGTTCATTTCAGCTACATGGATGTGACTTCATTACATGATGCAAGCTTTCCAAATTGCTCCCAGTTGCAGTCTGTCCTTTTTTTCTACCCTCTAGTTGTCTTTATTTGAATCAAGTGCACAATTAAACATTATATATATATATATAGTAGATATCAAAGGCATGTTAGAACAGCATCCTGAACCAATTAATTAATAGTATGGACCCTACTCTCATATCTGAGGGTCTCTTAAGCACAGATTTGCTTCAGGAGGGAGCATAAACACCCCAATTATGGGATATGAGCTCCTCAAATATTGCTGATTGGTTTTGGATTGGAAACTTTTCTTATCTTGGTGGGCAATTGAAAAAAATACAAAAAGAAACCTGTCCATGAAAACCTCTTCATGCTAACCAAATTTATAAGCCCTACACTGATTGGACATCAAAACTTTGTTTGGGTCAAAACCAGTTTGGCTCAGTGGATAGAGCATCGGTCTGCGGACTGAAAGGTCCCAGGTTCAATTCCAGTTAAGGGCATGTATGATACATTGGTTGTGGGCACATCCCTGGTAGAGGGTGTGCAGGAGGCAGCTGGTCGCTGTTTCTCTCTCATCGATGTTTCTAGATCTCTATTCCTCTCCCTTCCCCTCTGTAAAAAAAAAAAAAAATCAATAAAACATATATTTTAAAAAAAACAACTTTGCTTGGTGTTACAGAAAGGGGGGTTTGGAAAGCTTTTGCAGCCTGCTCATGTCATCTGCCATCTCTGTCACCTCCATATTTACTCCGTGTGTAGTGACTATCTAGTCCAGAACATTCAGAACAGAGAAACTATGGCCTGCAGTTGAATTACAAAAGGAATGATGCGTATATGGTGGAACATGGAGTTTAAGAAGAGGGTGTATTTTCTCAATTTGCTTTCTCAGATACAAAGTCTGCCCAGTTCCACTGCAAGTAGAAAACGTAGCTAACAGTCCCGCCGCATTCTTAGAGAATTCATATCTGTTGGGACTTTTCAACAATATCCCTGCGACAGATTCTTGACTTTGCTTCAATCTTGATTACAGTCTACACAATGAACAAAAAGTATTTCTACACAATGGCAAATCCTAGCTGAAAATAACATTGTTTGAGTTTAGCGGGAGACTTTTTTTTTTTTTTTTTTAATAAAACCTCCCACTTTGTATTTTGAAAGAAAAAAAAAAATACACACTGGAGAGAACTGGTGTCTTCTTCATAACAAATTATATTTCCATCTGGGACAATGTAGGTAGCACAATGACGAAGACACGGGCAGAATAGCCTCTTAGTTACATGCCGTGCATGTCTCTGATGGATGGGTGTCTAGCTCTTTGGGTGTTTTTCCTTCTCCAAGTCTCTCATCACATCCTAGCTCCAGGAATCCAACAGCCTAGCATTGTGGTTGGTGAAGGTCCTCTGAGGGATGATCCCAATCAATCCCTCAGTAGCTGTCAGGTTGGAAAGATACTCAGCCTTCCTGAGCCTCAGTTTCCTTATTTATAAAAAGTAGTGACAACAATTCTTCCAAAATTGTTGTGGAACTGAGACAATGTGTAGAAGTGCTTCACTCGCTGCCAAAAATATGGTAAACTGCACTATATTTAATATTACATTGGCAAAGATTTTAGAATAAAAGAATGATTTTCTGCTCTTTTGAAAAAAACACACAGCCTTTGAAAACGAGGAAACCCCTTTTCTTCGCTGCAGGACAACACCCTCAACCAACCAGCTTATAGTTACTAACCTCTTCCTACACCTGGTCAATAGGTTATTACTCTTCTATCAAGTACATTCAACCTGCTCTCCTCTGAAACCCTTCCACCCCTCAGAGGTCTGAGCGCTCCTCATGGGCAGGGCTTTATTCCAATGTTTTATTTTTTATTTTCATTCTACCCTTATGACCACTCCTCGAATCCAAGTTTATTATCACAGAACTATTATTGTTGCACGTCAAATTCCAAAAAAAAAAAAAACACCATCAGGCGATTTTGTTTCACGTGACGTATTATCAAACAATAAAGACACGGGTCTAATCAAACACGTGTCCTCAGTCTGTGAAGACATGCCCCCAGGTTGACCTGCAAATTTGGTTTCATAGCACCGGCTCCTCTAAGAAAAAGAAACAAAATAAGAACAGAACGTTCCCACTGATCACCTCTGAAGAACCTCCCTCATGTAATGGAGATGTATTCAACTATAAGATTTTTTTTAATGGGTCTTTTTAGTGAGTTTCTTATTCATAATTTGCCTTTAATGATGAGCTAGATGAAAATATTCAGCTTTCAAAGTTCATAGATACCAGTTTTCTATTCCTATATAAAAAAAAACTACTCCAAATCTCAGTGTTCTTAAAGGGGGATCATATTTTTAAAATATATTTTTATTGATTTTTTTTTCCAGAGGAAGGGAGAGGGATAGAGAGTTAGAAACATCGATGAGAATGAAACTTTAATCAGCCGCCTCCTGCACACCCCCTACTGGGGATGTGCCCACATCCAAGGTACAGACCCTTGACTAGAATCAAACCTGGGACCCTTCAGTCTTCAGGCTGGCGCTCTATCCACTGAGCCAAACTGGTCAAGGCAAGGGACACCATTTTATTCCTCTTATTTGCTCATTATTGTATAGGCCAGTCATGTAGTTCAGCTAGGAAGTTCTGCTGATGTCACCTGGCAGCTTTATGTACTAATTTGGCCTCACTTGTACCTCTGGAAATGGGTGGTCATAGTCAGCAGGACAGTCCGGGCTGGTGGCAAGGCTCCCAGTGCTCAAGAGCAGAAGATGCAAAACCTCTAGGGACAGCTTCATGAATCACCATTTCTGCTGCATCTGTTGGTTAAGGCAAATCAAGTGGCCAAGCCCAGAGTCACACATACACAGAGAGGAATTACAGCAGCCAGGTTGAAAAGAATCTACCACACCACATACACCTTTATGAGAGTAAATTAAGCCATAAACCTCATCTTCCTGATTTGTTTAGCTGACTTTCTTTTAGTCTATCCTGAGTGTCGGGTGCCATTGATACAAGAGGGATATATAGGGTGTCCCCCAAAAATGTATACACACACTTTTAAAACATTTCATCTTCAAAATTAAGCTATCAGCTATTACAGTGTGTAGCTATTTTGGGGAGACACCCTATATATGGCCAATGCACTAAGAAATTTCATCTCTGGGTGGTGAGCATCTCAATGACCCTGTGATGTGGTTAGTTGGGATTGGCTGAACTGATGGATCTGGTCAGGTGATCCAGAGATGTGTGCCACCCAACACAACACAGACTGGACAAGAAACCTTCTGTGTGTTGTTTATAAACCTAACCTCATTACAACAAATTCATAGAAACAAGCAAGTCTTGAAATAATTTTTTTTTTTTTTTTGCTTAGACCAAGTTAATTATGACACTTAAATGATAGCACTGGTTTTTGATCCCCACTTGAGGCAGATTAAAGTAATGGTTAAGAGCTTGACCATGAAAAATCATCATCATCATCATCATCATCATCATCTCAATATCCTCATTATAAAATAGAGGCTATACTATAATCATGCAATTATATTGTGAAATATCGGAAATCTTAGTTTTCATACATAACAGTGTGTTGTTTGTTACAACTAAGAAAGGAAAGGAAACTTCTTAATAAAATGTTTGAGTAAAAATCCAACATTTAAATTCACTCAAGTGTCCACAGTGTCTCAGTTTTGCCCTCTGCCCTTCAAGAATTTTAGAAAACTAAACATTACTGCAAGGAGAATACAGACGTAGCATACTGGTTTAAATTAGAAATTCACTTTCTTTCCTTGAAACCATTTTCTTACCAGACACAACATAAAGTGTGTGTGTGTGTGTGTGTGTGTGTGTGTGTGTGTATTCACTAGGATGGTAGCAAATAACTCCATATTTTCTTTCTG